CGGTTTTTGCGAGAATGTCGTATTAATAGGGCCATTTATACGAGGAAAAATAAGACGCGAACTTTCCGTATAAACGGCACATTTCGTCTAAAATAAGACGCGGCTTAGCTAAGACGCGTCTTATTAGATAAGACATGCTCGTATAAATGGTACAGTTCGCGTCTTATTTTTCCTCGTATAAATGGCCCTAATATGTTCCCGCATAAGACACTTATTTTGTTTCTGCTTACTTGATTTTTTTCATTTTCCTTGGAAATTATTTAAAAAGGTCATTCATACTTCGATTGATATGTCACCAATTTATTGGAAAGAAAAACTAATATTTGAGATACAGGGAGTTGCAAGGATGAAATAAAGCAGATCGATCATCTCCCACAATCTTTCCTTTAAAAAAATAAGTTGTTCTTCATTTCCATTAATTTTTTGAGTGGGTCACTAGGGGGTCAATAGGGGTCAGCTGATCGGGGGCAGGAGCCTCATAAAGACCGGTTTGGTGCAGTGCTATTCCCTCCGCTCCCGGAAAGTTGTTGTGCTTTAGTCAGTGACTTTGTTTGCCTGTTTTGCCTCACAACACGGGCTTTGTGCAGTGATATTCCCTCAGCTCCTGTAAGTTTGTTGCACACTTGTGTTTTGCTTTATTAAAATGTTTTGAGTGCTTTGCCTTACAAACAATGACTCAATGACTCACCGCATAAATTCCTTTTTGTTTTTATTTTGTTTTTCTTTTTACATTTTTCATCCAAGTGTACAAAGCATTTCATAAAGTTTCGACACATATGTTACCCGTTTATTGGAAAAGAAAAACACAATTTGTGATTAACCACTATCCACATGCAAATTCTCCATACTGATCCCCGTATATTTGCTTGAAGGATTAGTTGAGGGAATTTGATTAAAGATTAAAGCATTTCATATACTTGGTGATTATTTTATTAATTCTCCTAACCTTTATCTCTATGGTGTATGGAACTGAATGGGGGGACTTAAAGGGACTTAAAGGGTTAAAGGAGTTGAAGTGGCAGATCAACCATCTCACGCCTGATGCAATCTTGTAAGCTTTAAGGTGAACCATTCTTTGTTAGTTCAAATCATTAGCTAATTTCCTGTGAGGTAAGTAAGGGGGGTCAGTAGAGGGGGTCAATAGAGGGTCAGTGTTTTGTCGAGACCCCCTGTAAACTAGCCATATGAAAAAGAGTGTATGGTAATTAAGCCGGTCAATTGTTATAGTTTGAGTGAAGCAATGCCTCCGGAATATATTCCTAAAGATTTTTCATAATGTATTTTATATTTGACTTTGATGGTGTTCATCAGCACTAGCTGATTCCTAGCACTAGGAATATCTATGTCTAGGGTCAGACAGAAAATGTTCTTATTATCTTTTTTACAGTACTCTCATAAAACATTTTTTCATCTGTGGGCATAGTTGAAATAGCTTTTGTTTTGTCTCTTGAGAAATATAACACTGGAAGACATGAAGTTCACTTAGTTTGCGACATTTTGAGACAAGATATATCAGGGCATTTTCCAGTTCCTTACTGCCCGTGGTACTTATCGACAGTTTTTCCAATGTTTGACTGTAGTTCTCAGCCGCAAAATAAATTTGAGCAACAACTCTTGACATCACCTCTAGCCTCAGGTTCTGCACTGGTATTTCTGGTTTCAGAATTGCGTCCACTTTAAACATTGGACAAGAGGTGTCGAAAGCTAGCGTGACACGAAGGCTTGGAATTTTCCGCCGAACGTTTTCCCATATTTCAGATGTTATGTCCTTTCCAAATTTTTCTTCTCGTCGGCAGTCAATAGAAAGGTGTTCAAGGTGAGCTCTGCCACCTTCAGTTAACGACATCATGATCTCCTCGTTCACACTTGTGTGATGAAGAGCAAGATACCTCAACTTCCGGCACTTGTTAACGACATTTTCTATGCAACCGGAAGACACTTTGCAAACAAGCGCAGCGTTCTGAATATTCAGCGATTGTAAATCAGGACTGTTTTCTGCCAGAAGGTTAATTAAATCATCACTGTAGGCGACCGGTAGTTTACTTAGATCCACATATTTCAAAGGTAATTGAATTTCGCAATCGCTTTTGGGTTTGTCGAACAGATCTCGCAAACAGTCGACGAATTCATGACCAGCGTAGAACAAAGGGTTCTCGCCGAGAAACTTGATAGTAAACTTCTCGAGTCGTCGCACTTTCAAGGTGCTTAACTCACGAATAAGTGTGCATGCGCTTTCCCTGTTGATTTTATCCTCTTGATGGCAGTGAATTTCCACGTTTCTTAAGTGTCGTCCATGGTTCTCCAAGAATTTGCTGTATTTGAACTCCTTTGAATCAAAGAATTTGAATTGGAATGTCTGCCACAGTAGTGGGGAACTGAAACATATTTCACACCACTGTTTACAGGTTATAGAAGCCGTTAATCTCTCGGATAGACTAAGAAATGAATATATCCTCACCAAAATGTGCTCAGGTAGATTTTCCCAGTTGTTCCCGTCCATTGATGGTCTCCAAAACAACACACAGATTTTACAATCTTTTGTCCATCAAAGCTTCATACCCTCATTATTTATTCAAATTCTGTGACTTTGATCTGAATTTATAATGTACTATTACTATGACCTCATGGTTAGGGAATGTTATTACAATTTGGTTTATTTTTAGATTACCATCAATATGACAGGGTCTTCGAATCTTCAAGCCTGTTCTTGAACTTGAAAACAGTTCTTTTGGCCGTCTACTGGATTAGCTTTACAGCTGCGTTAAAATAAACTTTTTTTTAATTTGTGCTTTTTTTTATCCCTTTTTTTTTCTATTAAAACATTTTTTTTGGGGCCGTTTTTTGATTTGTTTTAACTGTGTGATAAAAATATTTTTTTTTTTTTTTTTTTTTTTATAATTTTCTCTGGAGTGGGGGTGGGGGGGGTTTGAAAAAAAAGGGGGGGGGGGGGGGGGGGGGAGGCGGTGGGAATTTTAAATTTAGGTTCGGAAAAGAGGTGGCTCATCCCCGGAAAGGGAGTGAAATTTGGTAACACTTCCCTTGAGCTTGGCCTAAAATATCATGACCTTCCCCTTTCTCAGGATATAAATGATAAAATCTAGTTCTTGCAATACACTAGAGTGAGTCAGTATTATGAAAACTCTAAATATATTTCTAATCTGTTCTTTGTGATGCTGTATACACAAACTTTAGATGACAGCATTAAGAGTCCGACTCTGATTCTGACAGCTGATCACTCGACTCTCCTATTTCTCCAAATAGAAAGTCTTCATCACTAGGCCAAGTGGGTAATGCCTCATCCCCTTCATCTTCTTCACATTCATCATGATCATCCACCTCTTCCACACTGAGGGAGCTTTGTTTGTTTGTTTGTGTGCTCTCTGCAAATTACCGTAAGTGATCCATAATAGCATTGACTTGCTGTGGCTTGTTTTTATCTTTCAGTGCTAGCAAATCATGTTTATGGATGTATTTGTCCACAACGCATACATGCTGTCTTGCTAGTGTTCCACTATTGTTTTTCTTTTCCATTTTTCTCTTATCACTCATCATCTCTAAATGATTTTAATGTTCTAGGTATTTTTTCACAAGACTTTCTTCAACAATGTATCTTTTGCAAAGGTCTGAACACTTGCACTATCCTCGATATTGATTTCATTCTTTTTGTGCACTTGCTTTAAACGTGCTCTAGCGTGATAATCATCCACTTCTCTTTTTTTACCGTCGTCTGTATTTGTGATGGGTGTTTCTGCAACAGGCAGATAGTGATACTTTTGGAAGTTTGTTGATGTCTGGAACTGGACGAGGGGTGGGATCCACTGACTCATTTTCACAATATGAAACATTTCTTCAGTAATCACACGATTCTATGAAGTCATCTAATTTTTTGAAACAATTGTGTCCTGGGACTTTCACTTTTCTTGTCTCCCACTTTGTAGCTTTGTATTGCTGAATATATTCGGTATTGAAAAAAAAACTGCTGTTCTTCACGATTGGTAACAAAAGCCTTTATGCAGTCACCAGCTGGTCCATAGCATTATTATAAATGAAAAGTAGATATTTGTTAAATTCTTGCAATAGTACTTCACAGTTTATATCCATGATGTTCCGTTGTTCTTGTTTTTTGTTTTGTTTTGTTTTGTTTTTTGTTTTTTTCCAAATAAAGAACTTCCTTTTTCTTCTGTGGGTGAACCTCTACATGATCACGGGCATATATTTGCATGACGCTCCCCCTTTTAACGGCCCATTTTTCATGACCCCTCCCTTTTCTGAGTCTCAAAAAGTTGAGACCCTCCCTCTGTTTCCACCCCCTCCCCCCCTGCTAATTTCTGACAAGTCCCTCAAGACAACAACAACATAAGCTTTATTTGCATGACTATAATTATGTAGTTACAGTATTGCAGAAGCTTTAACATAAAGTTACAATTCAGTCATAACAATGATAATGCAATGCAATGAATACTACAGTCAATGAAGTGTCATCAGCATGATTTGATAACAAATTAGTACGTAAATCATTACATAATGAGACAAATTTCAACAAATGTGAATTTAAGGAAAAATTATGTGAATTCATCAATTTAACTGTTAATTCTGTGTAAGACAGATGATTAAAGTCGACAAAGTTTTGTTGGATTTGATTGCAGAATTGTGCAAATTAGTACGTAAATCATTACATAATGAGACAAATTTTAACAAATGTGAATTTACGGAAAAATTATGTGAATTCATCAATTTAATTGTTAATTCTGTGTAAGACAGATGATTAAAGTCGACAAAATTTTGTTGGATTTGATTGCAGAATTTCTCCCTTGGGATTGAATATTTTGGACAATGGAAGAGAAAATGAAATTCGTCTTCAATTATACCAGAGTTACAAATAGGGCAGAATCTACCGTTGCGGGAAGTTTGATTATATCTTCCAGTTTCAATCATGAGTTTGTGTTACTTATACAAATTTTCACTAAGTCTTTCCTATTGGCTGAATTTCTAATTAAGTCTAGATAACCTGAAATTTTATAACCATGTTTAAGCTGTAAAATTGTGGTTTCTTAGAATGATGGATTGTATGTTGCCAATATGTAGTAGTGTTTGATCTTAGCTTCACTTAAGTTTTTGGAGTTTGTGTTACCCTCGGTTGTGTAACGGTTTTAATTAATTAACGTGCATTTTATGCAAAAACATCGAAAATGAACTTCGCGTTTACCTCGCTCGGCGGGTTGCTTTTTAATTGCCCAAGGTGGGTTTTTTAAATGTTGTACTACAACAGTAGGGCTTTACTGACGTTTAATAATTCTTCTAAAATTCCATGTACCAAGCCGTGATTTTTTCCTTCAAAATTTCGCAAAATGTCATAATTTATGAAAGTGCTGAGGATAGGAATCTTCGGACGTTTTTTACCCGAGTACAAAATTCATTATCTTGCAATATTTTTACAAAATACTATTGTAACTGGGATGCCTTACTTATCTGCCAAAGATGAACTTGTTTCCTTGAACCGTCTTTCTTCCCGAGGGCTTTGAAAGTGGTATAATTCAAAGGTTTTAGACCGGCGACTATATGGCGTGTGGCAGCATTTCACTTTTTGAGGTTTCCTCGAAAAAGAAAGTTCTTTGGAAACTTTGATTGTGATTTTCGAAAAAGTCAAGGCAAATTCTCGATATTTACAGGCAGCCGCTCTTAAATGTCTTAAATGAAGTTAAACATAATAAACTAGGCAATTACTGTAGCTTCTGCATTCTCCTGTCTACATGTTGACCTGATTTCATTTGTGAGCGACAAAGTCTTGAAAACAACCCACGGGGTACTCCCAGATACTCCCATAATGCACCGTTTTTGCCATCCAAAACTTTGCACAACTTTTGTTTTTGATTTCACCAGGGTATTACAGTGGTCCAAAGAGAAATAAATAAAAGACAATGCTTATGCGAAATTTTGAGGGACAAAACTGAGGTGTATTGTGGGAGATGTGCAAATGCTGAAAGGTCCCCGGTCGTGGCTAGATGGAACCCTCAGAAGGAGGTGATCGGGGAGGACTAGAAACGAGAGTTGCTTCAGCAATCTTCGCCTCGTGAGACAATGAATGGCGCCTCTCGAGATCAACTTTCGTCATCGGACTTGTAATTTCTAACAGAATTTAAGAACAAAGAACTTCGAACGGCAAGGGAAATGTTATTGAAATTATTTTAAACTCTTCTGTTCATTAAACAGAGGAAATATTTCGATACTAAGAGTGTAAGGGATCAAAACCTCAGAATTATGATACTATTGCATATGGAATCCCTCAGAAGGTTGGGGAAGTACTCGCAGTCTATGTAAATAGGATCCCTCAAAAGGCGTTTGGCATCTTGCAGAAGGAGGTACACTGTATTTATGTATAACTTGTAAATGGAATCCCTCAAAAGGAGTTTAACATCCCTTAAAGAGAGGTGTTTGTGTTTAACTTGTAAATGGAATCCCCCAGAAGGATTTTGACATTACAGGATTTTTGTATCCCTTATGGAAATCTCTCAGATGGAGATGTCTTTCAGGGACCGCGGAGCAAGGTAAATAGTGGAAGGGCTGACAATTGAAAACAATTTTGTCATATTGAAAATAGAAAAAAGGAATAAAATCATAGTATTTGATTTGTTTCTGTCGCGTGACTTTGTATACTTTATATTTATATTTTTTCATGTTCGATCTCAGCCATGTCTTCAGGCTGAAGTGATCTGAAAAATTTCTAACTATGGCCGTTCACTGTTAAAGTAATGTAATTCTTCTTGCCATCGAATATTTCATTGATTCGAAAGGAGAAAGACAAAATATAAAACTTTTATCAACTCAAAACAACTGCTCACCTTCGTTTGGCTTGAGAAAGTTAGTAATTTTCTTCATTTCGTCTGATAAAACTGATAAAAAAACTCTGCCGGAGCTGGAAGTACAAAACACGCTGCCGAACGAAGCGAATGGGTGGCCAAGGCATGGCGATTGATCAAGGGGCAAGTCGGCCCCAGGGCACAATTACCGCGAAAAGCACAGGAGCCCCACAAAGTGCCTGGCGTTTGAAATTAAAGAAAATACAGAGAATATAGCGGAATATAGATGGAAAAAACTTGTTTCAAGTCTTTTTTTTATTTTAATTATTTTTCTTTTTAGCGCAAAAAGTGGGGGCGGGGGCGCAGAAAAGTGGTTGGGCCGCGGCCCTGACCAGCCCCTCCCCCTCCGCGGTCCCTGTCTTTTGCTGAGATATGGTTTCAAAATTAAGTAACAAGGAAAATTAATACCACTAAATATTCGAGGCTGTGGTCTTATAAAAGTTAAAGGGTGCCCACAGTGAGCTGATGCTGTGAAATCTAGGGTGCCCAGTATAGAATTTCTATGAAAAAATAAGATTTTATTGTCACTCAGAACAAACGTTTGGCACCATGGGCCACCGGGCACTGCTAGAGCACAGCGGCTTGTATTGTATCGGCTATTTCCACTTTTTACAACAACAACAACAACAAATTTTATTCAAAA